CTCTTTTCCATCCCTGAGGAAGCAGCACAGGAAGATGATGCACAAAGTACAAATCATTTGTTCCTTACCTGTGGAAAGCATCTGTTGACAGGTCCTGCCCACTGTGGGATAACAGCTGATCGTTTTCCAGAAGGCTCTTCCACTTGGCTATGATCTCTGTGCCATATGTACAGTCCTGGGAATGACAGGGCACAAATGGTCTGTATCCCTTCCCATTAATTCCAGCTGGGATCTGCACAGAGCAGGCTGAGGGTGTGCTGTGCACAGCCAGCCTTCTCACCTCCTCTCAGGGCAAGCCAGGAGCTTGCAGTCTTAATTCCAGAATCCCACAATCACTGAAGTTGGAAAAGAACTCCCAGACCACAGAGCCCAACCTGTGCCCCTCTCCACCTTGTCACCAGCCCAGAGCAGTAAGTGCCACATCTGTCATTTCTTAAATGACTTTTAGTAAAGTCCTGCCAGAGAAAAATCCCACCTGACAATATTAACACACCTGCAGGGAGAGGACAGTCTGAACTTTAGCAGGTGTACAGAGAGATCCAGACTCTATTTCAGCTTAAATGGCACTGAGAACAGACTGTGCATCTCTGATACCTGACAGAGAAACCTCTCCTGCTTTTGCTAAAAAACAACAGCTAGAGATTTGTTTTTCACCAAATTTTTCATCCCAACACTCATAAAAGAGATTGGTTTTAACCTTACAAACTCCTAAATTTTTACCCAGCAAATGTCTGAGAGCGGGGACAGTAGAGAGTTTGATTTTGTCTTTTTTCTTTTTCTCCAGACTGATCAGGAATTTAGAATCCCAGACCCCCAGCTTGGTTTGGATTTGAAGAGACCTTAAAGCTCATCATGAGATGAGACACCTGCCATGGGCAGGGACACCTCCCACTAGACCACACTTGGGACAAGGTAACAAAGATGACTGAAGCCATCAAGTGAGAACTGCAGATAACCCAAACACACCTTGAGGGGATCCCAGTTCTTGAAGTATTCCTTCATGAGAGGATAAACTATGGCCACTGCCAGGTCCACCCTGTCTGACATCCTGTACTCCTCATAGTACTTGTCCTGCAGGGTCTCAAAGATCTTTGCACATTCATCCAGGGTCAGAGGGTTCTCACAGCCTGGCTGCATCCGCCTCTCACACTCCTCCACCATGTCCAGCACCTTGCTGAGGTTGCTGATGGCCTTCTCCTCGTGGGACAGCACCTCAGCCATCTTCTGGATCTCGTGGCTGAGGTTGACCACCATGTCCCTCTCGTACTGCAGCTGCCGGTCGCTCTGGATGATCTCCTGCTCCGTGATGTCGATGAGCAGCTGCAGGTTGTGCTCCAGCTCGGGCAGGGCAAAGCCCTGGGGCTTGGAGTCCTTGCCCAGGGGCTGCTGGGGGTTGTCATCTGGGATGTTGTGCTTGTGGCTGATCTGGCTGTAGCTGTAATAAACCTTCTGCTCCCGGCCCGTCATGTCGATCACCTGCCAGCACACCGAACAAATTCTCTAACAAAAAACTCTCAGCTTCAAAAAATGAGAAAATTCCTGACTCCAATTTTCAATTTCTGACTCCAAATTGAAATCTGGAAATTTCCAAGGCCCTTAATTACTCCAGGAGGCTGCTAACATACACTATATGAAAACAAGGGGATTGCCTCCACAATGGCCTTCTCCAGACACAAGGAGTCAGAACAAAAGAGAGACAATGTGGAATCAGAGCCACAAGAATCTCCTCATCTCATCCCAGTTTCACTGAATGATTCTACAAGCAGTGATCTTGCCATTGGTTACTGCACTTAAAACTTCCATAATTTTATAAAGCTACTTTAATATCAGATTCATAATTTTATTGAGTTCCTTTACAGTCTCTTTGAGGTAGAAGATGGTTCAAAAAATCCCAAAAAGGACAACTGTGCTTTCATAAGTGGGTGAGTGTTGATTATGAGAAATGTGAAAAAATAAAACTTAAAATGCAATTAACCCCCTACACTACACATAGCAGTAGTGTAGTGTAGGGGGTTAATTGCATTTTGTGACATTTAATAATAGTGTCATTTAATCTAATTTGTCACCACATCCAGGTGACACAGAACTGTTCCATGGCTCAGGGATGAGCTCCATGAGGCTGCACAGGCAGTTCCTAGGACTGGCTTTACTGAGGTTACCAGTGCCTAAAATGTGCTGGTGACACCAAAGGGCCCAAACTGCTCCTCAGGGGTCACCTCTTGGCTTATCAACCTCACCTTGACCTGGGACAGCTCCTTCTGAGGGGCTGCAAGCTGCTTGCTGATCCTGCCCTTGGCTTTCAGCTCTTCCACTGTCTTGTAGCTGTACTTGGGCTTTTTCTTGCCTCCATTCGGGTCCTTCCGCCACTGGCTGAGCTCCTTCTGAAACTCCTGGAGAAAACCAGCAGAGTTGTGGTGGCTGCTCTTTGTCACACCCCAAATCTGCTTCTTTTTACAGGAAAATAACCATCAGATCAATGAGGAATGTGTACAGGAAATAAATGGGAAATGGAAAAGCTCATGCCAAGCCAGCTTGGATGCTGTGGGCCAGTCATCCACCCTATGGATTAAATGAACAGGATGTTCCTGGTCTTTTTTTTATTTAAACAAAAGACAAAGATTATTTACGTGGGGGATGCCTCAAAGGAGGGATCCTAGCAAAGCTACTGAAATAGAGTGAGCCAGAAACAACAAAGAACATTATAGTGACAAGGAAGATCTGCCTAAACAAAATCAATGTGCTCTGTTTCGCTTCATCTAAAATGGGCTCAACAGTTTTCTCTGACACAGAAATTAAGAAAACTGAATTTTGCACACACAGCACAGCAGGGAAACAGCAAGAACCCCAGAAATACCTCCTCAGCTTCCTCTTCTGAGTCCACCACAGGGAAGTCCTGCAAGGACTGCGTGGTCCTCTCGGAGCCGTAAGCACCCACAGCACCTTTGCCTTTCCTCTGCTTGGCCTCGATGGGGTTGATGATTCCTGGCAGGATGGGAATGGGGTCAGCAGGAGCAGTTTGTGTGCTGGGAGAGAGCTCAACAGCCAGGCTTTCCCTGTGAGTTCCCAGATCAGCACCAACACCCTCCCTGGCACTTCTTTAAGGAATCCACCTCTCCCCCAAATCTCCAGTTAATAATAATAAACCACCAAACACACTGACAGTACCTTGAGCATTCTTCCCCAGACCCCTTCCAGGGACATATCCCATCTTCTGGAGAAGCTTCTGCCCAATGCCTTTAGTGTGTCTCTCCCAGCTGCCAAAATCCACAAAGGACTTGGAGCCCCCTACGAAGCCTTTCTGGCTGGGCTTGAAATTTCCACCCTGTCAAAAACAAACACAGGCTTCAAATAACCAAAGTGTGCAAAACTCCCCTCAGAAGGTTCCTCCCACACTGCCCAGCTCACTGGAACCTTGCTTGTGCATCCATGAAGCACATGTGGAGATCCCTGAAACTCCTCAGATGGGAAAGGAAAATCTTGAAGAAACCCTGGCTGACAACCTTACAGTTCTCAGGATCCACCACCAGATTTAGCTGAAGCTGATTCCTGATTTTTTCAGGTTTTAATTGAAAATAAGGGTTTGAGTTTTAATCTATAACATGCCTGGATTTGTCTGTTCTGTGAAAGTAGAAAAATAAAGTCTCTGAAAGGCAGGAAACCACAGGAATTCTCTCCTTTAAACCTCAATGACCAAAGGGAATATTGAGAAAAAATGAAAGGACTGATTCCCAAGGACACACAGTTATTCTATCAATGTACAGTTGTACCAATGATTTATTATTCTGATTTTTGTTTTATAAATGATACAAAATCCAGAGCAACAATTCCCTTACTGATACATTTGGGTCTCCGGTTTAATTATTCCTCACTTTTTTAGTGCTCTATTACAACTTCACTGCCCTCGACCACAGCCTGAATTTCATAAACATAAACCAGAGAACAGTAAATTTCCTGGAGAACTCACTGTCTTTAACTTCTTGGGCACAAACTCCTTGGGAATCTCCTCCTGCTTCACAGGCTTCTCATCATCATCCGAGTCCTCATCCGAGAGCTCCTCGGCCGCCGCCTTCCTCAGCCCAGCGCTCACAAAGCTCACGGGGGCCGAGTAATCCCTGGAGCTGCAAAACGAGAGGGAATCCTGCTCATTCCTGCAGGAGCCTGGGGGCTGCTGTGCCTTACAACCCCCAAAAATGCGATATTAAAGGCTGTCCGAGCTGTTTAACCCTGCTTTTGCCAGGCAATCCCCATCCTCCCGCCAGCGCTGCAGGGAGAGAACACAGGGAAAATCTCTAAAGGTGAGGGGGTTCCGAGGGCAGCCCGGGTGGGTGTTCATAGTCTGGAAAGGCCCAGGGAACGGGGGGAAGCTCCAGGGAACGGGGAGGAGCTCCAGGGAACGAAGGGGAAGCTTCAGAGAGCGGGGAGCTCAGGGACCCCTGGAATGGGGGAGCTCCAGGGGTCCCTGAGCGGGCCGAGGGTCCCAGCCCGGCCGTACCGCTTCCCTCCGAAGCTGGGCCGCTCCTCGTCCGAGTCGCGCTCGGCCCACACGCCGTAGGTCGCCTCCTCCTTGGTCTGGCGGTGTCGCTGCCGGTGCGGGTTGAATTCGTTCTGCAGGTCCCAGTCCGACACCTCGAAGCTCTCCATCTCCACGCCATCGTCTCCGTCCGTGCCGTACAGGTGCGACATCGACATAGTGGCAACGCCGCGATGCTCCGGCCCGCTCAGGGACCCCAAACCCCCTCAGGAACTCCTGACCCGGAACCCCAAACCTCCTCAGGAATTCCGGACCCGGGACCCCCGGCCCCGCTAACGAACCCCAGCTCCGGCCCCGGCGGCGCCGCAACACCGGATGCGCCCCATTCACTTCCGCAGCGCGCAAGCCCCGCCCCAAACCATAGAGTCGCCAGTAGCGGAGCGGCCGCGCCGGTAGCGCCGCCTTGTGGCCCGGCGGTGTACAGGAGGCGGAGCCCGCGCGATTAATAATTAAAATATTAAATATCAAATCAACACTTTAATGGTGTCCGGCCCCTTTTGGGGGGGGGGGGGGGAGGGGGATATATATTAACTCTGCAATAGCCTCTGCAGGGTCGGGGATGGGGTAGGTGGGAGGGCACACGCACCACAAAGGCTCTGCAGGGCCAGGCGGCAGTTCCTGACCCTGGGAGTTGGGAACAGCAGGACCGGGGTGGCCTTTCCCGATCCCAGGAATACGGAACAGCGGGGATGGGAGGGCTGTTCCCCACACCGGGAATGGGGAACAGATCACGAGACACAAAGGCGATGTACGGAGTCCTCCAGCCACAGCACATGTAATGTCCTGCCACCAGCCCGGGTTTCCACAGCTGCATTCCCCACAGAGCGCTGGGACCGGCCGGGGAAGTTCCCGCCGTGGAGCACGTTTGGCCTTTGCAAATAAATGCAAATACATTCCTGGAGCGCAGTCATTTGGCAACAGTAGGAGCAAGCAATATGCTTGGAGAACAGATTTCCACGGGCCCACTGCACACTTCGTCCTTCTCAGGCAACAACAGGCCATTGGCAGCGTTCTGGAAGAGACAAAATACAGAACCTCAGGGGCAGGGTCCCCTCAGGAGACGGATCCCCTTGGGAAAGATATCCTTGGGAAGAGGATCCCCTCAGGGAAAGGATCCCCTTAGGGAAGGATCCCCTCAGGAACAGGATCTCCTCAGGGGCAGAATTTCCTCTGGGGAAGGATCCCCTCAGGACCAGGATTTCCTCAGGGGCAGAATCTCCTCAGGGAAGGATTTCCTCTGGTAAGAGGATCCCCTCAGGAACAAGATCCCCTTGGGAGCAGGATCCTCTTAGGAACAGGATCCCCCCAGGACAGGATCCCTTCAGATACCACAGCAAGGCATGACTGCGGCTTTAAAGCCCCTGTGACACACAAAATGCCCAGAAAGGAACCAATTCTCAACCCAGGACAAGGGAACACACAATTCCTGATCTTCCCTCAGTGCTTCTGATCTTTTTCTAGCCCAACCATCTGCTTGTACACAGAAAGTTGCTCTTAAAGGATCAGTTTTAGTGCCAAGAATGGTATTTTATGCTTTAGCATGGAGGAGGAACATCCAACACATCAACAGTTGTCTCTGGAGCAGCAGCCCAAGGCAGCAGCTTTGTTTTCCATCATGTTTTCCTTTGTTTTCTATCCCCTTCCTCAGGTCCATGGCACGTCTTTGGAGGCAGCTGGGGAGCAGCTCAGCTCATCCACACATTCCATGTGTCCCTGCTGCCCGCGGGGACAGGCTGCAATAACCCTCCCAGGCGGCTGAGTTTCATTTTGCAGCTTTAATCCCGTTCCCAGAGCTCAGGAAAAGAATTCCTTACAAATGGTCCCACTCAGCAGCATTGTGTGGGAAGATCTGAGGCGGCTGTGAGGGATCTCTGTGAGGGAACCCCAGCTGATCCACAGAAATCACACAAACCAAATGCTGGTCCTGGAGCAACACAGGCAGATTTGCCCAAATCCCAAAATTAAGTAAAGACGGTCTTACCTGGAAATCATTAATTTTCTTAGTGAGAAGATGACGTGTTCTGAGTCACCTGGAAGAGCCCCAGAAGAGAAGGGTCAGCTCTGAGCCAGCATTCCCCAGGGAAGGCAGCAGTGACCAGGTACCCTGGTGTGTCCCAAACCCTCAGGATTCTCTTACCTGCAGGTGACCTTTGAGATTGGCCGGTGTTTTATAATCCCCCTTTAAAACCTGTGGGAAAGAGAACCTGGAGTGACCTCCTAGGGCAGTGGAATCACCTCTGGGTCACTGCTGTCAGCCATTCCCAGCCTTCCCAGGGAAAAAGATGCACCTTGAGTGCTCTGTCCTGCTCTCTCCAAAACAGACATGGAGGGGCTGGTGCGTGTCCAGAGAAGGGAACAGAGCTGGAGAAGGAGCTGGAGCAGTTGAGGGAGCTGGAAAGGGGCTCAGTCTGGGGAAAAGGAGGCTCAGGGGGGACCTTGTGGCTCTGCACAGCTCCCTGACAGGAGGGGACAGCCTGGGAGGGGTGTCAGGCTCTGCTCCCAGGGAACAGGGACAGGAGGAGAGGAAACTGCATCAAACTGTGCCAGGGGAGGCTCAGGTTGGACACCAGGAGGAATTTCCTCATGGAAAGGGTGGTCAGGGACTGGAAGGGAGGTTTGGAGTCCCCATCCTTGGAGGTGTCCAAGGAACATGCTCCATGTAGTACTCAGTGCTCTGGTGGGGAGGACTTGATGGTTCTGGGAGGCCTTTCCCAACCTGAATGACTCTGGAATTCTGTGATTCTGTGATTCTGTTTTTCCTGTGTGAATCTGTTCCCCTCTGCTCCATCCTGCCCTGGCTCAGGAGCTTCCCTTGCTCCGGAGGGCTCGGTGAGCCCCTGGCCTGTCCCCTGCACGGCAGTGCCACTCACCCTGTGCGTGTTGTTGACAACCAGGGGGTCGGGGTGGCCGTAGTTGGGGGGGTTGGCGTAGGGGTCGTAGCCCAGCCTGGCCAGCATGGGGGCGATGTGGGCCATGTCCTGCAGCACATCCCCCGGGATGTGCCCAATCCATTTGGATAACGCCTCCATGTTCACCGGCTTGATCACCTGGTCTGTTGATCTCTCTATCCTGGGGAAAACAAAGAGAAAAAACAAAAGACACAATGGTTGGATTTCGTCCATGTGCCGGGCTCACACACAGCTTGTTGCCACCTCCAAAGAGAACAACAGGATGGGATCTTAAATCCATCTTAAATCCCATCCTGTTCTACTCCCTCCCATGGGCAGGGACACCTTCCACTATCCCAGTTGTTCCAAATCCTGTCCCACCTGGCCTTGGGCACTTCCTTGGGTGAGGTACCCAAGGGGATCTGTCCCTCACAGCCCTGCTCTGGGGAAGCAGGCCCTGGCAGAGGGTTCCACAGCCCCAGAGGCTGGATCCTTCTGTTTACAATAATGGAATCATTAAGGCTGGAAAAACCCTCTAAGACAAGTGAGTCCAACCATTCCCCCAGCACTCCTAAGGCCACCACTAACCCATGTCCCCAGCTGCCACATCCACACAGCTTTTAAATTCCTTCAGGGATGATGACTCTACTACCATTCTGTTCTAATACTTAATTACCCTTTCAGGGAAGGAATTTCCCTTTTTATCCAACCTAAACTTCCTCTGGCACAACTTGAGGCTGCTTCCTCTTTTCTTACAGGAGGAATCTATCCTTCACTGGGATAGAGGGTTTCACCAGGACACCTTTGCTTATCAGGAAAAACAATATAAGATGTGTGGGCTGCAGCAGAGATACACCTGGTGACCCCTATGAATATTCAAAACCTGATCTAAGCAACCTGGACCAATTTACTCTGAGCAAACAGGGAAGTAGAGCTGGCTGCACTCCCAGGGCATCCTGGAAAACTGGAGCAGCTGCACATCCCCCCATGGCTCCTGTGCCCTCACCACCAGGGCACAATCAACTGATACAGAGACTTGAATAATTCCCTTACATGGCTGATTAAATTTTGCTAAGTCTGACTTAAGCCTCCATTTAGAAAAGAAACAGCATTAAAAAAGGAAGAGAAAGTGGGAGAAGGCAAACACCCCCTACACATGGAAAGGGCAGGAGGGAGTGCTGGGTGTGCCTCCACTGGGCAGGTATTGCTTTTATTCTGCAATACCAACCCCAGACCTGGCAAGAACTGCAGCTCATCATCGTTAGCAGCACAACTAATCACACCAAGGAGCCATCTGAGGACGGGTGGAGAAAGAGACATTAAAGAGCTCACGTTTCAGAGCAAGCAGTTCTTTGCAAATTAGAGACTGAAATAATTTCTGCAGTGTCAAGAGAGATTAAACAGTCACCTGCTCCTGAAATCCTTGCTTGACAAGCTGTTCTGTGGAGTACAACAGATTGGGAGCATTAAAGCCATCTCTTACTTAGGAACACAAACCCCACTGCAGTACAATGTGCTGTCAAAATCACACACAAACACGAACAATGGGGCTCCGTCCCATTTTACCCTCTTTGTGCAACAAAAAGCTGAGGAAAGAGCCAAGACTCACTTGGAAAGGGACACCCCACCGGGCTTCCCGATGAGCTCCTCGTGGTGCAGCACCGTGTCGCTCCAGGAGATGTCCAGGAACCTCATGATGTTCTGCATGGACTGCTCGGGGTGCAGCACCAGCTGCTCGTAGTGCACCAGCATGCAGCGCTGGAAGCCCACCTCCATGCACTGGTTGTACATGGTCTCGATGGCCCGGTTCCACTTGGTCAGGCAGTCCCGGTAGCTGTTCAGGTCGAAGCCGGCGATGGTCACCTTGCGTGTGATCATGGAGTGCACCGAGGCACGCCCGTCCCGCACCATCAGCAGGAACTTGGAGTTGGGGAACAGCCGGGACAGGTACACGGAGGATTTCAGCGTGAAGGGGTCCTTGTTGCACAGGTACCTGGCGGGCTCGCCGTGCTTGGCAATCACTTCCAGGATGAAAGCCTGCATGGCCGCGTCCAGCACCTGATCTGTCACCCCCGCCTCGTCCAGCCGCATCTTCTCGCGGCCAGACTTGGACCAGGCCTGGCGCATGGCCAGCACGCGGGGGATGATGCGGGTCTCCTCCCCGCAGCGCACCTCGGGGTGGGCGTCCAGCATGGCCCTCATCAGCGTGGTGCCGCTGCGGGGGACGCCGCCGATGAAGATCAGGGGCATGTCCTTGCTGTAGCGGTACTCCACGTGGTTGGCGTCCACCATCACCAGCTCCTCGTTCTCCGGCCTCATCAGCCTGTGCCTCCTCTCGCTCAGGACCTGCTGGCACTCCAGGACCTGCTGCCCGAGGTGCAGGGTCACCATCAGGGCCGCCACCGAGCCCAGTAGCAGCAGCACCCTGCGCGTGGTGACCCGCATCCTGCTCTCCTGGGCACAGGCTGGGGGCTTCAGCTCTCTGCTAGCGAGTGTCCAACCCCACGGGCATCTGCAAGAGAACAGCGCTGTCAGAGCAGCCATGGGATGCTGACACCATCCCAGATTTCATCACCTCTTTCACTTATCAGCACCTCATTTCATTTATCAGCACCTCCCAGGCTTGGTGCCCTACACCCAGCAGGTAATTAAAGTCTGCCTCAGTGCACACCCAAAGAGAGAATTTCTGCATTGTGCTCCCAGAAACACAGGTTTACAGCTGGAGCAAAGCTCCAGGAACGTTTTGGAGAGGAGAGGCACTGTACATTCAGAGACAAAAATCTTTACAGAGAGCCTGCTCCATCCAGATGAAGCCAAGACCCAAGCTGAGGTTATTCCTCCCAAACCCAAGTCAGCACTCCAGCACTGCTCACCTCCCAGCCAACTGCATCCTCCCTACATTTTGTTTAGCTTAACCCTGCAGTCACAGAGGAGGGGGAAGCTGAAATAAGAGAAAAACAAAAGCCTCTCATGCCAGCTTTAAGGGTCTGAGTCAGAAGAAACCGTTAGAATGAAACACTGAGAGATTCAAATCTGAGAGCGAACAGCCACATGCAGCGTTCACCACCCTGCCTGCCTTGGGAACTGACCTGACAGAGAAATCCGTGAAACTTCATCTGGCACCGAGACTTTTCAGGGTTTTCCACGGCTCGGCAGGACATCCAGCAGAAAGGCTGCAGCCTCTGCAAGTGCCCAGCTCAGCTGCGTGCCCGGAGGGACTCCCGGGAATGCTGGCACCGCTTCCCGCCCCCTCCCCCCGTCCGCCCCAGTTGCGAGTCCAGGTTTTGCAATCCTCCCCTGGGCTCACCCCGGGATTTCCAGTTCTTTGTGATTATGTGGCTGGGGCAGGAGCTGAATGGAGTGGAAGGAACGGGCCGTCCATGGATTCTGTTTTGCTGACAGGCCAAAGAGCTGCTCCAGAGAAGAGTTTCCCCCCACAGCGAAGGAATACATTGTGCAGCAGCCCGTGCGGAGCAGGGAGCAGGCGGGAGAGAGCCTGGAGCTGGGCAGCTTTCCTGTTCCTCCTGCCAGGCGCTCAGGGACTCGCTCTGCTCCCCACTTCAGTCCTTGACATCCCACTCACCATCCTGGACTCCACCCACTGGCTCGTATCCACTCCTGCCCAGGCAGCGCCTCTCTGCCAGCCCAGGGATGCCCTCCCACAACCCAGCAGCACAACAAAATCACCACCTAAAGTATTTTTGTGGTTCTTTACTCCCTGGTCCAGCCTGACCAGCTGCTTGGTAACATACCTGAAGCCAAACAGCCTCAACTGCACCCCTAGGTATGAGATAAAGTGGGTGGATTTGTTGGGATGTAGATCAGAGGGACATCCAACAGCTCTGGCATTTTTGCAGCGCCAAGCAGAGTCAGGGCCATTAACAAGACAAGTGCTGCTCCTTCCTGCTCTCTTCATCTGTTTCTGTCATGTAAATATATTCAAATATTCACCCCAAAATAATTGCAAATGCCACAAGACCCATTTCAATGGATGGCAGAGGAGCAGGCAGGATTTAGGGCCAACTGGAATAATTAGGGCAGTGCAGACCAAGACAGGCTAATTAGCAGCAAAGGCTGCACCATGAAAGGAGGCTGGAGCACAGAAGTGCTCTGTTCTCCAGGAGAAGCAGCTGACAGGGAGCAGTTCCCACCGAGATGCTCCAGCAGCTCCAGAGGGAACAAAGGGACTCTCATATTGTGTTCCATGGGGCTGCCAGCTGTGCCAGGGGAGGTTCAGGTTGGACATCAGGGGGAATTTCCTCATGGAGAGAGATGTCAGGCCTTGGGAAGGACTGCCCAGGCAGGTGGTAGAGTGTGATAGTTGTTGTCTCTCTACCTAGTGCCTGGGGGAGTTCTTTGCTGTCTAAGGCAGTGCAGTGGTGCCCCAGAGAGTTTGTGTTCACTGCTGGTCATGACACTCTTGGGTCAGTGACTTGTGCTGGGCTTCAATTTTCTGCTTTTCCTCTGCTTTTGTTCCCTGGTCCTTACAGTAAGCTCTTCAGTAAAGAGTGCCCAGATGTGATAAAGGGCTGCTGTTCGAATAAAACCAGCAGTTTATAGAATTTTAATTTCCAGCATAATTAAAACACTCCCATGTAAGGCAGAAACACTGCTCGGAGCTCTTGCTGTGATCTGGGACAGAATTTTGTTTTTGTTGTTGTCATAGACTTAACCATAGGATTTGTTCCCTGTCTGTTTAGGCCATCTTAGCCAAATTGACTGTTTAAATAAATGTTGCAACAGAACATCAATGAATGCTTAAGTCCTGAGGTTTATTTTTGAAACTCTTTTTGAAGCTAATAAAGTGCACTGTTACAGGCTATATACTCCCAAGAGAAAGACTTCATTTGAGACAAGGTGAAACTTCAAGGCAAATACAGATGTGTAGATGGCACAATGAGACAGAGCTGGTTCCCAGCTCTTTTGTGAGATTCTCCACTGAGAATTTCCTAAAATTTATGAGCCTCATTAGTCTGTGAGGGAAGATGGATGGGTCATTTCCTCCCCAGCAGGCATTGTGCGGAATCAGGGTGTAATTAGGTTCCAGAGACAACACCCTTTCAAATGCCCAAGCTGGCTCTGAGAGCTTCCCACTTGAGCAGGATTAGGGAGCTCTCAGAGGCTACTCTGGCAGGGAATGGTGACATGGGAGCAGAAAGCAAAGCAGCAGCAGCAATCCAGGGCTGAAACCCCTGAGTACAGCTTGGACACAGCAGGACAGGGATGTCACACAGGGGCAGGAGCTATGTCCCTGGCCAGCATCAGGGGGGTAAGGCTGCCTCCAAAGAAGAAGCAGTGGAGGAAGCTATGTTGTGGCAGTTTTGTGTTCCCCTTGGGATGCCTTTTGCAGCTGCAATGTGCCTGGAGCTTGGGGCTTTGTGGTTTTCAAAACCCTAACCCTAGGTGGAACCCTAGCCCTAACCCTAACCTGAGCACTAAATCAGCTTGTAAGTCTGGCACCCAGAGTGTGGGGGAGAATGGGGACCAGTGGGGACGTGATAGCAGAGTGACAAGAGCACCTACAGGCAGCAAGTCTTCTGTATTCCCATGCTGATGGACTGGAGCATGAAGAAGGCTGACACTGTGTCGTGCCAGCTTGTGAAAGCAGCACAGGATCAATGTGGCACCAGTGGTGGTGTGGACAGATGTGCAGCATCATGAGACAGATGTGCAGCAGCCACCCAGCCTCCCATGGCAATCACACATCCAGCAGCTTGCTCTTACCTTTTCCCCGTACGGTCATGGTGCTTCTAGTTGAGCTTCATGCTGAACCCGTGGCCACCAAAACACCTGATGGGGAAGAGAAGCCACAGTGTTGATTTGTTTATTTAGCACGCACATCCACGCCCCTCCTCAGCACCTTTCCCTCCTCCCCACAGCCTCCCCTGAGCTCCAGGGAAAAGTGTTCCTGCTGGAGCTGGTGGCCCCAGCTCATGGCAGCGCTGGCAGCTGGACTTGGCACACCTGCCCTGACACACCAGCACTGTTCACAGAGCACAGCCAAGCCAGGACACACAGGGGGAAGCAGCAGGGCTGCTGCTCTTTTAGGAAATGCAGCCTGCTGGAAAGGAGAGAGGCCTCAGGGGGACCCTAGCAGCCTGGATGTTTAAAGCCCAGGGGATGACAATCCAGCTGGGCGCAATTCCAGCACACACTGGCCGCCACAACAGCCTTGACCAGAGGAAGCAGCTCCAGACTTGCCTGCTGCAAATGCTGAAATCAGGCACACGTCAGACCGTGACCAGAGCCCCCAAATCAGTGACAGTGAAAGGAGACAGAGCCCAGAGGACCTGCAGGCCTGCCAGGACCTCCTGGCTCCAGCCCCAAGAACAAAGCTCTCTCCAGCCTCACCACCTGACAAGACAGTAGCACTAGCCCTGCACAACATGGAAATCCCACCAGGTTGGGAACCAAACCTCTGGACACTGGGTTTCCCACAATGACTGCTCCATGCCAGGGAGCCCAGCAGCCTTGGCTGGAACCATCCTGCAAGCACAGAGCATCCTGGGGACAGTCTGGGACACGGAGCAGCAGCAGAGCACCCCAAGGGGCCAGGACCCGGCGGATCACCAGATGTCACTCTGCTCCCAGGATCAGGGACATGGGACCATCTTGGGGTCACTGCTGCTGGGACATTCCCAGTCAGCTACCCCTGGCTGCACAGCAGGTCCTGGCCTTGCAGGATGTTCCTGAGAACATTTCCAGGAGTGACACTAATGGCTATTCCAGTCTCCTCTCGTGCCATCGAGTGTCACTGGCCCCTCTGCCTCAGCACTAAAGAGAAACCAGAGGGAAACTCCACTCAGCAGGAACTCTACAAGGGCTTATCCACAGTGCAGGCGCTTCCCTGCGAGGCTTCCTGCTCAGCCTGGCCTCCATGGACTGCAGGATTCCAGCTCCAGACCAGGCTGCAGCTCCACGGAGCAGCAGCTGCATCCCTGGATGTGCTTCTGCAGTGCCCTGAGTGCTGAGGTGCAGGGACAGAGGTGGTCCAACAGCCTACCTGACTCACCCTGCTCCGGAAAGGGTTTCAGATCCTGCCCAGGCACAGACACATGGACAGACACACAGACACGCACTTGTTTGTGACTTCCTTCCTGATGCTGTGCAGGGCGTCACCACCAGCTGGGCTCCAACTGCAGCTCTGACCAAAACCCAACCAAAACCCCTGAGTCAAACCCCTGACCTTGGCACCTGCACTGGGAACGGGTAAAAACCACCCCCGGAGCAGCCCCAGAGCCAGCACAGCCCCCGCAGCAGTGAGGAAACACCATTTGTTAAAGTGTTACAAACAACCACAGAAACGGTTTCTATGAGAAGCCCCATATGATCTAAAGCTGCATTTTTCTTTAAACCATTCCCAGAAATGAGTGTCATTAAGTGCAGCCTCCCCAAAAGATGTAGGTGTGGCCTGGAAAATTTGAGCTCAATTTGCTGGTGCTTAATAAAAGGATGAGGATCTGCAGACGCCCCTTTGGCGGAACAGCAGCAGAAACTGTGGTCAGCAAGAAATGTCCCAACATATCCAGCTCACATCTTTACAAATCAGCAATATTTAATTACTGAATTGATAGTCTCCAGTTCATTTACAAAAATAAACACAGCTTGCCTGAGGGCTGCTGCTTCATCCCAACCTGAGCTCAGTCCAATGCTGACACTGCTGATGAGAGCTTTGCTCCTCCTTGATGCTCCTGCTGGCAATTTCCAAACACTTCCCAAGTATCTCTCTTAGCAGGATTGGCATGCAGCAAGCACGGAGCATGGGGCATGGAGCATGGGGCCAGCCCCAGTCTCCACCAGGAGCACACAGAGGCACCACAGGGGTGGCTGTGGTCACTGAGTGCAGCGTCAGCCCGGTTGCACAACCCACAGCTCGTGCTCCTCCACCCTAGCACTGCCCAGACCGGGATTGATCCCATGGGACAGTGGGAACAGAGTCCAACCCACCCACCCCAGTGGTGGGACAGGGGCTCTGTACTCATGTCTGCTGCAGGTGTGCCATGGCTCTAAGCCTTGGAGGGAAGATATGAAAATTAAACTGCTGCAGCACTCAAAACAAAATCCCACAACAAAAAGAAGGGCTGTCAGCCACCACGTGGCAAGAACAGCACCACTGAGAGCAGGACGGGTTTGGTGACTAAAACTGAAGCTGCACTGCAGGTCATGAACCCAGGGCATCCACTGGAACAGAGGCCAATTCCAGTGAAAACACAACCAATCCCAACAAAAACACCTGGGTCTGGAGCACTTTGGAGTTCTGTGTCCCTTGGAAAATCCCCAAACAGCACTGACAGCCCTGTGGTTTACACTTGCACCGCCGCCATCATCCCAGGGAAAAATAACAGTCAAAAGAGTTCAGGGATGAGTGTTCAAGCAGCCACCTCAGCACCCAAACCACACAGAGGCTGCTCCAGCTGCATCTTAGCACCCAACAGGCTCAGGGGACAAAGGGGAATTTATTCTCACTGCTGAGTACCGAGAAAAATAAACCAGCAGAACCTGCTGGCCTGAGGATTAAGGCAGCATGTGCTAGTTTCAAAACTTTCTGGCTCAGAAAAGCCTGCAAGGTGAGAGCCCTGAGCCACACCAATCATTCCAGCTGAGCATCCCAAAGAGCCCAGCCAGGGATGGGGCACTGTGTGCCAGCCAGCTCCAACAGGCTCTAAATCACATCAGCAGAGGATCCACAGACATTTCACAGCACAAACAGACTGCTGGTTTATCGCCTCAAGGCTGTTATGATTAGCAAAACATTTTATTATCCTGCTCAGTGGTACAGTGTTCCTCAAACAATAAAAATCCCACCAATTTACAGTAACTCCCCTCCGCCCATCCCTCGTTCCAAGCACGGCGACAGCATTTTATCATCAGGAGATGGAAACCTCAGCACTCACCCTGCCAGCCTTGCAGGGACACAGCCTTCAGCTCAGAGTGGCAGATTAATTATGGAATGCCCATGATTATGGAACACCCATGATTATGGAATGCCCAAGGGGGAAGCTGCTGGCAGGACACAGGGATGGAGGCACCTGCCCACTGCCCAGCACCTGGCACCGTGTGCCTGCACCACAGCAAGGCTCAGGCACATCAGACATGCTTGTGCTGAAATGGGACACGAGCTCTGCACTTCAGAGGGAGCTCTTGACTTTTAATTAACCCACAGAGCTTCACCTTTCCTTAATTATTCTGCAGTTGTTGCCTCAGGGGGACAAAGGCAAAGCCAGCACAGGTCCACTGACAGTGACACTCCCACGTTGGCTCCCCTTGTGCGCTGACCAGTGACTCCACTGCCCTGCTGGAGGAAGGAGCTCTGGGAAAGCACTGAGCTCTGCCCCAGCTCCTCTTGCCCAGGGAAGCTGTGGCTGCCCCATCCCTGAGGTGTCCAAGGCAGGCTGGATGGAGCTCTGAGCAACCTGGTCTAGTGGAAGGTGTCCCTGCCTGCAGAAGGGGGTGGAACTAGAAGATCTTTAAGATCTCTTCCAACCCAAACCATTCCATGATTCTGTGATGATTCTATGATTCCTCTCCATGCCTTTGATCAGGTCCCTCCAGCCCTCAGCCCTCATCCAGGGTATGTCCTGGGGATCCCCATGGGAGAGGGTCACTGGGCAAGGGGAGCCGAGGGCTGCAGCCCCCCTGTTCACTCACCCTGCAAACACAGCTCTTCCCTCACAAAACTGCACAAATATTCCCTTGCAGGCATGTGGGTGGTCAGAGCCTGCCATACAACAGGGAGGAAGAGAAGTCAGAGGAACTGCTAGAAAAAACACCAAGTATCTTCAAAAAATATTTTCCCAATCCACACGCCAAACCCTAAGTCTCAACAAGCTCCATTCTTGCATGCACAAAGATCAGGATCTGCAAATAAAAAATTGTTTCTGCAAGACAAACCCCAAAACCTCAAATTTGCTTAAGAAACAAAATCAAAGTATTTTATTTCCCCATGCAGCAGCAGCAGCAGCCCTGGAAGCACTGCCTGAGGGCAGGGCAGGGCAGCAAGGATGGAGGTGCCACTGCTCACGCTGCAGGCAGGGATGGGAGAGGGGACACTGTTCCCCATCTTCCCCAGCTCCTCTGCTCATTCTTGTCCTGTTTCCTGCAGCTCCCTCAGGAGCACAGACCCAAGCACAGACCAGCCCCAGGATCTCCAGCAGTGCCCAGCCGTGCTCAGCACAATGGATGCCATAAAGGAAAACATTTGGCATCTCCACAAAGCCAGAAACTTTGGGAAACACCATCACCCACTTCAGCCATGTGTGTTTGTGGCCTCCCACTCCCAGCCCAGCGAGGATGGGCAGTGACCACTCCCAGGCCCTGGCACGGGTGAAGCCCTTGTGAAACCACCGGTGAAAGAAACGGAACCGGCGCCTTCCGAGCCTGCGCCGCTGCTGCCTCATCAGCCAAAGCACCCAGAACACACATCCGAGCTCCTTCCTGTCTGCACAGCCCAGCTGGAGCCCTGCTCCTCCTCTGCTGCCACTTGCATCTGCAAACACTGGGCCACCAAGGCCTGTGCCCATGCCCTGAGTGCCACCCAGCCACGCTGGCTCACAGCCAGCTGTGAGCACAGCTGCCCGAGGGGGGGTGGCTGTTATCCCACCCCCACTGCAGCTCAGCCACTGCTGGCAACAGCTGCTCACACCACAGGATCCCTCCCAGCACCGAGCAGGAACAGGAGTGCTGGAAAAGCTTCCTCAGCACAGCAGCCTGAGGCTCCGGAGCCAACATGCCCGTGGCCATTCCTCCGTGGAGAAGCACCTGCATGCTTGAGCCCCTGCAGAGCCCTCAGTCTCACTCTGGGGTCACTGCCTGGGAATGCACAGTGGGAAGCAGCTGCTTGCTTCACTTCCGAACGCTGTGTGTTGAGCAACCCCCGCTGCTGCTCTTGTTTGATGTCCCTGGGAGGGGACAAGGGGCTCCTGTGGCAGGGCCACCCTCCTGCCACACCGTGAGGCACCACAGCACAGACTGGGGACCAAAAGGGGGGAAAAAAGGCATCATTTACCTTGAGAAGGGGAATCTTTGAGAGAATTCCTGCAGGAATTCTGGAGGCAGACAGGGCTTGGAAAACAGAGTGAACCAAAGCAGGCAGCCAAACACCAGGGCAAGCTTCTCCCGGGTTCTGTGTGCCCGCTGCCTGTGGAATCTGGAGGGAAACGTGCTCAGCCAAGGCATGAGGCTGAGGCTCCTCAAGGCATCACAAATTCATCACAAGGCACATCTGCACGGTGCCAAATAAAACCACCTGCTGGGGGTTTGTTTTCTCTCTCCAAAAATCTTCTTGACAGTCCCCGCATTTTAACAACGCTCCTGCCATCCCACACATCCCCAAAGGCTCAGCATACCCGGAATGCAAACCGCCTTTGGAAAAATCTCCTTAAAATAGCCACAGAAATTACTAATACCGTTTGTAAAAAGGCAGAGGACAGCAGTGGCATGAGCCTGGCCATGCTGCTGAACCCACCAGCATCCTGCAGAGACCCCAGGCCTCAGCCTGCCACATCCCCCCACAGTGAAGGCCCCCAGTGCCAGCTGCTGTGGGCGATGCTGGGGAGGACTCACACAGTGCCCAGTTCAGCTGCTGTCCCCCACATTCCAGGCTGACTCCACACAGACCCTGGGCTCCCCTCGGGCTCTGCAGCACAGCTGCTCCTGTGGTGCCACATCCAGCAGCCTTGGGGCACCAGCTGCCACCGGCATGTGATGGCAAACCCCGCTCGCAGGCGCCCGCGCTGGCACTTGACAGCTCCCCACGAGCAGCCTGCAGCATCCCCACAAAGCACACAGCAAATCTGGAAACCTGTTGGCACCAATCATTGGGATGTCCCCACTCACCGTTGCTTGGTGCCTGAGCAGGAGGGAGCAGCACGGCTGTGCTGAGGGGGGACTCTCCTCCTGAAAATGAGTCCAAGCAGCCAGCAGGGCCTGGCACAGGGAGGCGTCTGAAGGGGTTTCAAGCTGTGAGATGACTTTTGGACAGAGCCTGAGCACACAAACAAACACAGAGAGGGACAGAGCAAAGGCCTCTGTGATGCAAACCATCCCCTGCCTGCCCAGGAGGGCTGCCCAGCTCACGCTGCTGGCCCCAGTGCCAGCAACTCCAGCCACGAGTCCCAAAGAACTTGAGCTGGACAAAGCGTGGATGTCACAAATCTGCCACACAGGGCACAGTAACAGATGGGCACTGCCAGGAGAGTGCCAGTGCTTTGTGTGGGCTGCAAGGTGCCAACGCAGCTGCTCAGGAGCCCATCTGCACCCCTGCCAAGGGACCCACATCCCACAGCCACTCCGACCTAGGTGCTGCCAACACCTCTCAAGCCTCAGCAGAGGCTGATGCTGCCCAAGACCCGCAGGTGCAGCCTCCCACTGGGCACCCACCCTGCCCAGGCCACCATGCTCATCCTGGTATAGAAGGGCAGTCCCAACCCTGGCCGAGCTCTGGACACCTGGACAGACAGACAGCCTCAGCCCATGGGTGCCTCTGTGTATGGCAGTGCTCAGCATATGGGGCACAGCTTGGTGCTGGGCTGCCAGAGGGGTGCCATGAGAGGGGGGAGAGGGCACCGTGTGCCAAAGAGCAGAATGGAAGGATAAAGGTACGAGGAGAACCCTGCACTGAGCACCCTGTCCCACCTGCTGTGCATCCTGCACTGTGTTCTGTGCACTGAGCACCCTGTGGGCACCTCAGCAACCCTGCACTGTGCTGAGCACCCTGCACCCAGCACCATGCTCTGAACCGAGCACTGAGCGACCTGCGCTGAGCACCCCGCACCGAGCATCCTGTCGGG